TACATTCTTCCTCTTGTCACTGAAAATCATAAACTAGAATAGGCTTTAGACCAGTGGTTCTCAACCTTTTTAATGCCGCGACACCCAACCGGTCGTAAGTCGAGGACTACTCAACCGTCGTAAGTCGAGGACTAAACCAGTCATACGTTGAGGACTACCCAACCGGTCGTAAGTCGAGGATTTCCCTGCCCAGGAGCGCCACGCATGCATGGTGCCGCCCCCTGTTCCGCTCTAATGCCCACTGTGCTCCTGTAATAAAACAATAATAATGAATGTGGCCGTTGATCAAAGAAAAATGTCCATAATTAATGGGCTACAAATATCCTGTGTCCCTCACTCATATTTGACACATAAGTTGAATAAATCACGTACCTCTATTTGTGTATACACAATATGAGTGTTCCAGTCCACCAGAAGGGTTGTGAATGTGCAGGAGCATTTGTGAAGCACTTCTTCAAATGGTTGAAGAAGCTACTATACATTTTTTTTCTACATATATTTGGCTACTATGGAAACGGTTTCCAGCAGTGTCTGTCTGTGTGGGCATGCACAGTTAATTGTCTTTGCGTATCCCCAAATACACCTGATGAAATGTTAATAGGATTGTGTCGTGGTGACTAATTCTGCTTTATCTTCTATTTGTGTTAAAATGTGTGTTATATGTACTGTGTTCTTTGCTAAAGAAGCACAGTGCAAAGAGGCTTGTGCTATGCTGTGGTGAGATATTGTTGCTACATAAAATGGAAATGCTAAATCGATTTTAGGTATTGCATCTGGGTATTGTCAGTTTCTTTGATGTGTCTTTTTGGTGTGGTTATACAGCTAGTTCTTGACTTACAATCATTTGTTTAGTGACCTTTCAAAGTTACAAGGGCACTGAAAAAAAGTGACTTGCATCCTCACACTTATGACCATCACAGCATTCCCCAGGGTCACGTGATCAAAATTCGTATTTGCACATGAAATAAAGCTTGCGTCACCTCTCTGATGAAACCGCGTGTCTTTTCAGAGATTCCTCTCGCAAACTGCATTTAGTCTGTTACCATAAAAGTAAAAAGCTTGCATCTCCCATGTAATTATACTATAAAAATAATCTGCAACCGTATTAAACCATAGGTTCCAGCATCCTTTTTTACTTACAAGAATACAAATATTTTGTTGTGTTCTTGTCTGTCCAAAGGGAAATGATAGGTAGGGATACTAAGGGTGTCCTGTGAGTGAGGCAGGAGATGGAGCAATTAAAGTGACATAAAACCACTTCTTGGTAACTGCTTGTATCCTCCATTTTGGGAGTGGCCAACATTCTTGAGAGCTGTTTTTTTGAGTATTTTAATTGCCCCCAAAGTTTAGGAAGCCTAAATTTAAATTCCAAAAAGATTAGGAGGTTATACTCTACAGGGAATTTTCTAGTGCAAAAGCAGTTTTTCTTAATCCAGGAGGCACAAGCAAATAAACAAAGGCATATGTGTATATGTACATAATATTCCACATATATTTTACCTTTGTTATATAAACTGTTATGTATCTCAGGGTTTCCATTTCTTCGAAATACCATACCTGGGCAACACAAACCTAGATCAGGGGTAGGCAACCTTGGCTCTTTTATGACTCATGGATTTCAACTCCCAGAATTCCTGAGCCGGCCAAGGAATTCTGGGAGTTGAAGTCCACGAGTCATAAAAGAGCCAAGGTTGCCTACCCGACCTAGATGACCACTAGATGGCAATTCACACACTGACCACACATTCAACAACTGTTTGAAGTTTTGATGAAACTGAAAAAGGAGACTTAACAACAGTTCCTCACAGTAGTGGCTGTTGTAGCATCCCCATGGTCACAGGATTGCCATTTGGGCCCTTGGCAACCAGGTGTGCATTTATGACAGTTGCAGTATCCTGCGGTCAAGTGATCACCATTTGTGACCTTCACAGCCAGCTCCCAACAAGTAGTCAATGGGAAAGCCAACAGAAAATCACAATCACGTGTTGTACTTAATGGACAGTGGTGATTTGCTTCATACCCACAGTGGATCTGACACCATACATCTGTGAGTTCTAATTCTATCTTAGGCATGAAAGTCGGCTGAGTGACTTTGGGGCAGTCATTCTCTCTCTCAACCGAACCCACTTCACAAGGTTGTTGTTGTGGTGAAAATAAGAGGAAGGAGTATTAGACATGTTCACCGCCTTGAGTTGTTTGTAAGAGTAATAAAGGCAAGCTAAAAATAAATCAGGCATGGTCACGTGATGTTTCATTTTACAACTATACTCTTTAGCAAGAGCGTTGCCTGTCCCAAGTATGGTTGGAAGGTGAGAACTACCTCTGTTCTGCCCTCTAATGGTCATCTGGTATTTTGCAGCCTAGGTAGGAGACATACATATTCGCAATGACCCAAGGCTATGTTAATAACGGGAAAAGCCAGTTATGTCAAAAAATTTAATTGCAGAATTATTTACAGAATATGGTCATAAACAATACAGGAACCAATTAAAAGAGGCAGCTTCATAAAAGAGCCATGGGAGAGTGGGGAAGTAGTGAAGCACATGTTTTTTTTTTTCTTCTTACAATTAGCTGAAGGCAGAGAAAAGATAATGAAAAAACAGGAGTAAAACAATTGGCAAAGAAGTTTCAAATAACATTTTTTTTGTTAAATGAGATATTACCAAGAAGCAAGAAATTATTGTAATGAAACATTGCACTGTATATTCTGTATAGATATCCTGCATGCTACCGAACAGAACTGCTCAAAAGAACCATAAAAGCATGGGAAAAGAGAATTACATAAAATAGTTTCTCTAGTGGTGTAGATTTATACAGATGACAGATATTTGGCACTCAGTTTGTCCTCATTGTTAACATGATTTCTTGTGTGTATGTATGTATGTATGTGTGTATATATATATATTAAATAACTATTTTCCTGTTTCTAACATTCCTTGAAATTCTATAAAGGGAATTTAATTTGTCAGGCCACCTTGGATATTTTGGTGCATCACTCACTAAGTGAACCTCTGTTTATTCACACACAGAAGAAGCTGTACTATAATAACAGTGACTTTTTGCTTTATAGGAAAGAACAGTTCCAGTGTAGTAGTATTTGCATGGATTATAGAGAGTTTTTTTTAAAAAACAACCCACTGCGATCCATTATAAAAAAATAATAAATGCATATAACAGAGGAGATAATGCATACATCTTGAGCCCTTTAAAAGTGAAAGGGTGACAAATAACGAAAGCTCAGTGGGTAAATTAATTTGCAGATATGAATGTAAATTTCACAGATAACTGTACACTTGGAATGGGCGGAAAATGGATAGGACAGAGAATGTAAAATTTCAATAAGGACTTCATCCACATTTATCATTAAACGTTGAGTACATTTTACAGAAGAGAGAGAATGCTCTGTTATAAAAAGAGCCGTTTTTATAGATCCAAATTTATATCCAGGCAAACCCTGCTGTGATTATAGTTTGGTTGGAACAGAAATAATGGCTGTGATAGACTCATAGCTAGTCTTGGCTGATTTCTAATTTTTTTTTTTTTATCTCATACTCAGTATGAAGCCATTTGGTTACAAAAAGCTTTAAAGCTTTTATATTACTCAGGCATCTATTGTATCAGCCATCTTAAAAAGCATGATTAAGAAAAGGATGCAGAAAATAAAGCAAAAAGGTGTTATGTTTATCTTTGTGGCTTTTGTCAATGCAATACTTTCTCCCTTAATTAGTTTTTTCCTAAGCTTCCATTCTATAGTTTAGAACTTAATTCTACAGGACTAGGAAGATGCAAGCAAAGTGTGATCAACCTTTGAGAACTCCATCATATCTTCATTCAGAAAAAGAACTATGCATGGAAAGAACACCCTAATGTCTTTTTCTGATTACATCAACTTTTCCTCTCTAGCTGATAAACCTTTTGTAGAAGCCCTTGTGAGTAAATGGAGCACAGATTTCTGGGGCTGTCCCATAATTAAAATGGACTAAAGGAATGAATGTGAGAAATGGAATTAATATATAAATGATACAAATTAATTGGCAGAGTACACGAGGCACTGCTAATTAAAAAGAAAAACTTGCATGATATAATTCCTAGGTGCTAAGAGGCTCCAGTATCAGTTGTGCAAATGCAAAACTAGAGCATGCCAATTTTAGAGAAATGGAGTCACAACAGTTCTATCCTTCCAGCATCTGAATGGATCAGGAAGGAGCGCTTCTTGTTGGGTTATGGAAATACCAACAATATTTTATCTTCTATAGGGTCAGACCTCACATGATCAATCAGAAAAAAGACTCACTGACAAGCTCTAATAGTATCGGAAACAACAGCCAAAGATAGCATCCGAATTATACTTCCTGCCGCTTGCTTGGCCAATGGAGAAGAAAGGCTGCCTGTATCAGGAGGTCCACTAGAGCAGTGGTTCTCAACCTATGGGTCGGGACCCCATTTGGGGTCGAACGACCATCTCACGGGGGTCGCCAAACAACACAGTCCACCATTTCCCCCCCCCTTTTCCTTAGCTGTGCTACTCCCTTTTATTCTATTTATTTATTTATTTATTTGTTTATGAGACTTATACACCGCTTTTAAGTGCAAGCACTCTCTAAGCAGTGTACACCAGTAAGCAATGTATATATATATATTTACATTGCCCCCGACAATCTGGGTCCTCATTTTACCTACCCCGGAAGGATGGAAGGCTGAGTCAACCTTGAGCCGGTGTGATTTGAACCGCTGACCTGCTGAACACAGTCAGCTAAAGTGGCCTGCAGTACTGCACTCTAACTGCTGCGCCACCTCGGCTCATTTTGAAAGCCAATAGAATAGACTCTCTTGAACAGAGTCTAATTCTATTGGCTTTCAAAAGCCAATAGGAATTGTCCAGGCTGTCTCTGCCCTGCTGAGCCCGCCAAAAGTCCCATTCTGCAAACGGTGCTGCACCAGTTGAGCAGTCCTCGACTTATGACCGGTTGAGTAGTCGTCGACTTACGACCGGTTGGGGGTTGCGGCATTAAAAAGGTTGAGAACCACTGCACTAGAGGACAGCAAAGTAAGAATCTAGTGGTCATCTGTACTTTTATAGCCCAGATTAATCTGTTAAAACTAACTTGCATTAAGGAAGGATACCGTTATTATTTTCTAAAAGGGGGAAATCTACCCTAAGTCAGTCCTATCTAAACTTGTTTTGAATATCCATTGTCAATACCTATTTGTGCAGGGATTAACAATTCTTCAGAAAGGAGAGGGCAGGGGAAGAACTGAGTCAGAATAACATAAGCATGTGTCAGTTTGCTTCTAAGAAATGACCCTATTTTCAGGCTTTCAGAATTTTTAGCTGATGAGCATGCTTGAGCCTGGAAGCCCAGCAGGCAATTGGGTGGGACTCCTCCAGAGAAGCAGAGCTCTAAGCTAAACTGAAAAACCTTGTAGAAAGACAGAATGGCAATCTGTTTTCGCACTGTTCTTAAGAAAACTGCAGAATGTGGTGTCATGCTCACTTTGAAGGCTCCTTTACATTTGTAGAAGAGGGAAATCTTTGAATAGATGCATGGCATCTGGAATGCATTTGATACAATCAGTCTTAAGAGCTTGGGTGTGTCTGTGGGTGTGTAATAACAAAACAGCAAATTCCTTTTTTCCCAAATGCTTTTGATGAATGTTTTATGTAAAACCACATCTTTTTTCTGATTTGAACGTTAATGTGCTGTAATTAAAGTAGGTAAGACAAAAATTTGTTTGTTAATGATGAACTAAAAGCTACCAAATACCATTTTGGTTTTACCCATAATGATATTTTCATCCTTGCAAATTATTCCAAGAAAGGCCTTTCGGATCAATTGTGTAGTAAGATCACAAACTACATACAAATTTTTTTATTGTATTTGGCTTTAATGATGTTTTAAATAATGGGATGTAACTCATAAAGAATGTTAATCAAGGTGATAATAAATGGCTGACGTAAAATGGAAGATGGGTGATATAAACTATAGTCCAGACTCCTGGAAAAGGAATAGTTTCCACTTTCATGTAGACATTTGTTCCATTCAAATGTAATAATTCTTTGCATGTTTACTGGAAAACAAGTTGTAATATCTTTAATGAGGCTATTTGAGATATGCCAGCATAAGGACTGCTGTTTGCCATCAAGCTCTAAAATTATACATTATTAAAACTTACTGAATTCATTGGGGCTCACTTCTTGAATGTGGATTTAGGATTAAAAAAAAACAGTCTAGAAGTAAACGCTATAAAGTATAGTGCTTATTTCTGAATAAATATATGAAGGATAGTGTTGTTAACCAAATGCGATGATGTACATGATTCTAGTAATTATATGTACATTTTTTATTAAAACAAAACAAAACCAGGTTGCAACCCCATGTCCACATGGCTTGAGAATAAACCATCTGCATTTTAATGGACCTTACTGCTCAACAGATATTGTACCCATGTGAGACACTGTTTTGTGAGTTCTACTGTTATTTTGTCTATTAGAATTAGATCATTTTATTTCCCAAATTAGTTAATTTTGCTGTGTCTTGAAACAGGAATATAGTCATATTTGAAATGGAAGTGATTAATTTTCAATGGTCCTGCAATATACAGTTGTATTTCATACTATTAAAGAGTCTTTAAATGAAAAGCACTGCAAGTCATTCTCAAATATATTACTTTTCACATTCATTCCAGACAGGGCTGAATGACTTGTGACACACGTAATAGAAACACTAATTTTTATCTCCCTCTCCCAAATTAAAAATATAATACATAAGAAGCATGGCTTATTATTTGCCATTATTGTTTTAATCTTTCCTATATAAAAGAGATTAAATATATTGCACTTAAAAACTCAACTTGTGAACAGGTAACATTTCATTGGAATGGGCAGAAGGCATCTGGTTTACATTTTAAAGATTTTTCTTTGGAACAGAAGTGGAACAAACGGGGACATACAGTGGCAAAGGCATTTCTTCAACACATTCCCATCACTGCATGAGCAACGTACAATTTAGTGTAGAACTTTCTTTAAAAGAGTCAAATTTACCCTTTGTGTATTTTGCCTTCCTTTTCAATGAGAGTATGCTTTTAAAAATGATTTTATGTTAAAAAACAAACAAACCCAAAGACCTTCAGACTATTTTGAATAACATCTTGTTTGTCCCAGAAGTGATTTTTTCCTTTGAGAACCTCTCTTAAATTCTTAGGGAAAGGATCAAACTATACATTAATTGTATGTGAATTGGATATACACTTTTTTTTAAAAAAGTATATTTGCTGGAGTTGTGTTTATATGTGCTTTTTCAGTCTAACATATATATTTTTTGTTGTCATCGTTGCTGGTATGCTAACATACGTTGCAAATAGCAGAAACCGCATATTGAATACAGAAGTACCTAACTGTGCAAGGACTAATTACAGCTCCAGCAAAAACCGTTTAAAATTTAATGAATTTTTTGCTCAAACAATATTGGAGGGCACTGATGTGCAAATATAGTTAGCTGTGCTAAGCTTTCTATTTCATAGCTAGGAACTTTTTTTTTGTCTCTGGGTATGCTATGTTTGTGAATCAAATGCAGATCATTTTATTACCATCAGTCCCTTATCTACATAAGATAACGGAAGGAAGAAAAGCACATGTGATTTGGCAATATTTATAAAATAAAATGAAATAAAAATATAGCAGCATAATAGGGATGTAGCAGAAGGAGAGAAAGATATATTTCAAATCTGCTGTCTCAAAGAAATGCATATTTTATTCATTTATTTCCATGTAGTTATTTCTAATTAACAGCTCCATTTGAAATAAAGTTATCTTTAAAGATGCCTTATCCCTGCAGATATTCTTGCATTTAAAACAAAACTATAAGCAGCATTAATATTGTACACTACCCCAAAATCAATTTATTTCCAAGTGCAGAAATTCTTTGAATAGTCTGTGGATGGGAATATCTTAATCATCACAGACTAATAGTTCAGGAATACTAATATTTCATTATTATTGTTGTCATCTATCTTTCTTTTTCTTTCTTTCTTTCTTTCTTTCTTTCTTTCTTTCTTTCTTTCTTTCTTTCTTTCTTTCATGTTGTACATTCTTCTTGGGTTTTTTTTTTTTTGCTTCCAAATGCAATTTAAGGCTATTTGGTAAATTCTACATAAGAGATCAGGCTTAATTTACAGTGTTCCCTCCTTCTCAAACATTCAACTCTAAAGATTCGTATCTTGAAGCTAAACATGCTTATATCAGCTTTGTCCTAAAACAGAATGCATGCTTAACAAAATATATTGGAAGAAAGGGGGATGAGGGATGGAAACCCTAATGTTTTCTTTACTTCCTACAACAGCAATCTCCAACATGTGCTCTTGAGATACATTAAAACTAAACTTCCCCATCGTTTGTACATTTCCTATATAACACTGCTATTGTTCATGCAAACTAGCATGATGGGAGATATAGTTCAACATCTATGGAAGGCACCTGGTTGGAGATTGCTGTTAAAATGTCTAGCATTTTTCAGTCATGTGACAAACTGAAGGGCTTGCAAAGTACATATTTAAAGTGCTCATCAAGGTGAAGAATCAAAGTGCTGTAGGCTAGTTTAAATAGCGGTTCTGTCTATGGCTAAATACATTTTGTTTAACAAACTGATAACAGAAACTTGACTCTGTTCTAATATTTTGTATGATTCAGAATTCTTACTTCAATAGTGGTGGGATATATTTTCTTGTATCTTCACCTGAAAAGATTCAAAAACTTGGATCTCAGCCTTCAAGAAGGCAAAAACAATAATGTATTATTCTCAGAATTTGTTAAACTTCTGTATAATTTCTTGCTTTTGCTGTGATGTTGATCAAGAACTTAGAAACATGCTACCTTTCTTACATTCTACTGTTAGAAACCACATGTCTTTTAAAACATGTTATTTATGTCTGAAACAATCGAGAGACTTTTTCTTATCTTTAATTCATACTGCATAGGAAAAAAGAATTTTGAAAAAAAAATACAAATGTAAACCACAGTTCACCTTTTTTTACCTTAAGATTACCATTGAAACTGAGATATACTTACCACTCACATTCATATTTCTTAAACTGGTTACAACATCACAACTGGTATTTTAAACAAGCAAACTTTTTTTGTGTTTTGTTTTTTGTTTGAAAGGATACCCTGAAAACTCAATTGATCTAGCATTTTGAAACTTGAAATATTACGTGTAGCATCGCTTTTCAAATTAAAAAAAAAGAGTGTTCACAAATGAAAGAAGTACAACATAAAAGAACTGTTCAAAATGTAATGAATGTTCTCAAAGAGTAAATAGAGCTTTCACATCTTGCTACAGATGATCAAAATTCTTAAGGCTTTCCTTTGTTCCTCTTTCTTCAAGTTCCTTTGCATTTTTCCTTCAAATTTCTGGATGGGTGTCCCAAGGGGACACTTTCAGGGAAAGATTTTCCCATTTGGAAATGATTCCTACGCTTTTCTGTTCTGGATGAATGTTGGAGTTTTCATGGCTGGATATTTCTGTTCATCTCCAAAAATTCAGTGTGAGATGTGAGGAGAGACCAGATGCGAGTTTGCAGTAACCAAGAGAAGCAGAATTGCCGAGCATGTGGGCAGAAAATCTAATTGGGTTCAAAGCAAAGAAACTGAAGCTGAAAGGGAAGGGAAGGGAGGAGAGAAATGGATTCCTTCTTTTCTTGCACTTTACATTTGTAGCACCTTCTACTTGAATTAGCTAATGCCTCTGGTGAATGGAGAGATGCACCCAATTCAAAGTTTGTTTGTTTTCTTATTCCTAGTTATCACATCATTTATAAAAATATAAATAACCAAAAAAGTAAGCTGGGTTCCATCTCAAGAGGTGTTTCCTGTTGTCCTCTGAGAACATAATTTTATAAGTAAGGTCTCAACAAGCCCTATGCATTGGAGCTGACTGGCGTAGTTCGATCTTAATAATACAAAAAAGAAAAGAGCACGGGTTCTTGCAACAGGGCTCAGCAAATTCTGAGGACATAAACAGCATTCTCTTCTTGTGCGTCTGGCACAAAGGAAACGACAACAGGGCGGGGAGGGAGCTGGGAACGGGGAGGAAAAAAAAAAAAAGAGCAAGGAAGAGGAAACCAGCTGTACAAGCACTTGCTTGGTTCCTTCGTTTTTTTGTTTTTTGTTTTTAAAAAGAGAGGAAGCAACTATGCAGCATCCGGGTCTTTTAAAGCCTCGTTTGGGCTTCTGGAATATAGATCTCAATGCTGTCTGCACGCTCCGTAGTAGAGTTTTGCCGGAAAGAGGCTGCCCGCTTAGCAGCCATGAGGCGTCTTCGAGCTTCTTGGCGCTGTCGGTCAGGCAGATCCAAAGACTTCTCTCGGGTGATGGGGAATTTTCCTTTAGGGGGCTTCTTTGGTACAGGCGGAGGAACCTTTCTCTCTTCCTAGGATGCAAGGGGAGGAAAAAAAAAGAAAAGAAATGAAGCGCGGAAGGAAGGGAGCCTAAAGAATGCACAGTATGGGCTTCATTCAGAGACTTTTCCTGGAAGCTGCAGGTGCCTCCCTGCAAGTCATCCCTGCCAATAGAGACTGTCCCAAGCATGGTAGCCACTGACCAATGTCAGCTGCGCTCATGCATACATTGGCAGAAGACGAGGGACAAAATGTGCATTGCCACACAAGTTCTGACCCTTATGTATTTGCGTGCAATGATGAGACCTGTCACGGCCGCTATTTCATCATTTTGATATCATCATGGTTTTTTGGTCTGCATTGCCCTTCAGGTTGGAGCATTCTCCAGTGCTCCAACAATCAAGAATGTTCTCTTATCTCTGTTCCAAATACAAATATGCATCAGGTATTATTAATATCCATCCATCCATCCATCCATCCATCCATCCATCCATCCATCCATCCATCCATCTATCTCTATCTATCTATCTATCTATCTATCTATCTATCTATCTATCTATCATCTAATCTATCATCTATCTATACCATCCATCCATCATCTACCATCTGTCATCTCTATATATATTTTCCTTCCTTCCTTCCTTCCTTCCTTCCTTCCTTCCTTCCTTCCTTCCTTCCTTCCTTCCTTCCTTCCTTCCTTCCTTTCTTCCCTCCCTCCCTCCCTCCCTCCCTCCCTCCCTCCCTGTAGGGGAAACACTATTCCATAGGGAAGATGCTACAACAGAATAGGCACACTTCCTATGTTCCACTAGGTCAGGGGTAGGCAACCTTGGCTTTTTTATGACTCGTGGACTTCAGCTCCCAGAATTCCTGAGCCAGCTATGCTGGGAGTTGAAGTCCAGGAGTCATAAAAGAGCCAAGGTTGCCTACCCCGCACTAGGTGATATTGTTTCCTAGAATGGACTTGAAGCATGCTTTTTCTGCTAGATTTTGTAGGCAAGTGGAGATAAACAAACAGGTGACCTCCTTGCACTCCCTATAGAAGTGAACAGAATGGGCCACTAGTGTCCTCAGCACTTTTTGTTTAGCCCTGTCAAAATGACTAAATCCCTCTGGCAAGAGTGGATGCAACTATAAATACAAATTTGAAGTATTTAACTTTCATGGAAGACAAAGATGGATTTTAAACTTTCACACTGAAGTCAATGGGGCTAACATTTAACTGGCTTTATTAAGAATTCTCAGCCTTAGAGGTAAAGTGAAAATGGTATAAATACAAGTTTTTAAACACTAATGTGTTTCTTCACTACAAATGAGGTAGCAGCTGTGTGCAGATTTCTGTGCTCCTTCTTTACTAAAATCCTGGTCAGGCTATTGACTGAGCAAGTATTCAGAAAGGAACTAATGAGATTGTTTATGAAAACTACTAAGGGAGCAACAGAGATGGTTGGAAATTATGGAGAGGCAGCATAGGCCATACCTGCCTTGAACGTTTTGTGGCCTCTCCTCAAGAAGTGATCACTTGATTTGGCAATAATGGATAACTATGCCCTCTTTTCAGGGGAGATTGTGGAAAAGGTGATCAGTCTAAAACTGAAAAGAGCCCATGGTACCAATCACTCCTTTGGGTGACCTTTGGCAACCACAGGCCAGTGGGACTACAGCTGATCTGATCTTGCTGGAACTCTCACTAGCTGGAACTTTTGATATTACCAATTATGATATCTTACAGGACCACTTCTGGGGGTTTGGAGTTGGGGGCTTTATTGTGCAGTCACTTGCCTGATTTTTGAAAGAGAAGTTCCAGTCAATAGTAGTGGGAGGGCAGAGGTCATGCCCTAGATCTCTCTATTTCAGGGTGGCCCAAGATTGAAAATTATTTCATATCTACGGGAAGCTATTGTGTGAGATCATTCTCTGTCAAAAGGTCAAGTAACATCAGTATACAGATGATAGTTGTAGATGATGTTCCTGGGCTAAACAGGAGATGAGGTGAAGTCAATGCCAGAAAATTGGGATTAATAGACTATAGGTTAAATCTCAGCAAGAGTTAAAGGTTATATGTGCAAAAGTCTTCTGATACCAGGAATATTCCATCTTTAGTTCTGGTTGGGGTTGTACTATTCTGTGCAGAATGGGGTCTGGAGGTCATCTTGGATTCATACCTGCTCCTTAAAGACTAGGCAGCAACTGGGATTAGGAGGACTCTTCACACAACTTCATTAGGGGGCACCAGTAACAGCTTATCCTGAATCAGGAGTCCCTGTTACTCATTCCTTACCCATTCCTTTTGGGTGGCCCAGAATTCATCATATTGTGTAGTGATGGGAATGTCTTCATTTCCCCATCTAACTCATCTACTGTAACAGCTACCTTAATTGCTAGCTTCCTTATTGTTCAAAGTTCTGGCTATTGCCTTTAAAGTCCCATATGACCTGGATACCTATTGGGATTGCCTTCTCCCAGTGGCTTCTGCCTACTTAACAATATTAGGAAAGGTGGGTTTTGCTCAGGTGTCATCTCATAATGAGTGTCATCTTCAGAATGCACAGAGTTGAGCCTTCTCAGTCACAGCCTCAATTCTTTGGAATCATGTTCCTTCTAAGATTAGATTGATTACTTCCTGTTTTTTTTAAGGTTACAAAATAGTAGCTTTTTCAAAGAGCCTGGGGAAATAGTTTAGCCATGAGAAGAACCTGCCTATGGGTTTGGTTATTAAAGCTGTTCCTTGGGATACTGAGTTGAAAGGAGGGGGGTCTCTATTGTTTTTTATAGTTGTATTTTAATATGTTTTTTATTTTTATATTTTCTAAGCTGCTTTGGACTTTGGTCTGAGTAGCACATAAATTCTATTTGAAGGAAGGGAAGGAAGGGAGGGAGGGAGTGAGGGAGAGAGAGAGAGAGAGAGAGGTCTTCATTATGGTATTATGTATGCCAGCATGCCGAGAAATATCTGCCATGGTACTTGTCATGTTCTCTGCACTTCTGGAGAGTGTTGTCCACTAATGATTTCACAAGAAAAATAATTTCAGTCTTAAAAGTCAAAGACAGTGCAATCTGAAAATGAATTGTGCTTACCTTTTTTTCGGGCGATTCTATTATTTTCCATTCATTCAGTTTCAGCTGATGCAGTTCATCAAACTTCATACTGACATCTTCAATTGAGAGTTGTAACAAGTCCCAGAATCCTGCTAGGTCCTGTGAAGTTGGCCGGGGCATAGCACTGGGATCCTGCCATATTTACCAGACAAATAAACAAAAAACCAAATGTCATTTGTTTGAAAACTAGGGTGTAGAACATGGTTGGCATTATATAAATGGTCAAATGTTAGATGGAAGACTCAAGCCATCAAAGTCCAACCCTTTGCTGAATGCAGAAATCCAGATTAAAACATACCAAATATTTTACTTTCTGCTTGAAAACATCCAGGAAAGGGGGACTTCTCTCCACCTCATTTGGTAATTAGTTCTGCTGTTGAATTAGTCTGAACATTACAAAGTTTTTTCTACAAATGTAACTGAAATCCATTATTCTGTGACCTTGGATTGTGGAGAACTCCTTCAGTTCTTGGCAAGTTTTATCATAACCTTTCTCAAGATAAGGTAAGTGACTGATAAATTTCTCCTGACATCACTTCACCTCCCATTGACGATTGTATGCCTTAAATAAGTTTAAGCACCTATCAGTTAGAAGGTACATAAGTCCTCTATTTATGACCTATAAGTTTAGTTATTTCTGAACAAAGATCTAGTATTCTGTTGAAACAATCTGTAGCACAACTACATAATTTTAAGCCTAATTGTTTCCTTAAATGAAGCTTGCTTTATCTGCTTTCGGCCACAAGAGAGCGGTCTTGTGCTGCTGAACTACATGTATCTATAATAATGTGTATAGCTCCAGACTAATACAATTTCCTCAAGAAGCATAATAAGAGAGATGCCTCATCCTGAGGCATCCTTAAATGTAATCTTACTCAGGAAGTTATGTATCTTAAAATAATAATAATATAGCAGTCCTAAATAAGCGGATTATATCCATAGGGAGACAATTAACAAAAAGGGTCTGGATCGTGTTAGCACATCTGTATTAACTTACACAGTGCTTTGAGCTCTGATCTCACTACACTGGTTGCAATAATATCTAGCTTGGCACATGTAGAAAAATCTTGTTTCAGCAAAATATAATATATAAAAGGTACTTGAGCCATCTTCCCCTCCCCTAGCAACCTCAAGGCATGATGGGTTTCAAAGACATCACTTGTCATTCTAGCTGAAATAATGGGATTTGTAGAGGCCTAAAGGTCATTAGATAGGGAAACACTGCTTCAGTGGTGTGTCTGTAGATTTGCATTTCTGTGTGAAAATATGTCTATGCTAACATTACAATTTGTGAATGAAAGGAAGTTTGGCAATTTATCACTAATTTAGCATTGATATTAATAGATAGTAATTCATGTATACCAGTTTTTGATTTCTTAAAAAGCAAAGCTTGACCACTGGTCTGCATTTGTTTTTTTGCCTTGCTAATTTGTTCTGGATTCTTTTAGAACCTCTCCCATTTTCGGAACAGGGATATAGTACAGAGGGCTGCTATTTAATATACAAATGATCAGTTTTGGTTGGCTGGAATTCCTTTATTCCTTTATTAAATTTATTAACTATATTATTCTTTTGGTCTTGGTCTATGAATGTAACTTGGGAGAATACGTTCTATAATTCTATAATATGGGTTAAAGACACCATGTTTGGCATTGCCTAGAGATTTATAGAACACCCTTCATATGAATCCACAGGCAAATTGTATTAAGACTCTACAACTTGGACTATGTTCCAAACTCTCTACCTTTGGACACATTTAAAGTTGGCTTCCGTGTTTCTTTCTTTCAATGGTCTGGTCTCAAGCAAATTATTGTTAAATGAAACACGTATGCCTCAGCTTATTCAAGAATGATGCATCATTTACTTAAAAGGAGTTGAAATATTTATGTTGACTGTGTCAGGGTGTCAAACTCGATTTCACTGAGGGCTGCATCAGGGTTGTGGTTGACCTTGGGGGGGCATGCCAGGGGGGCATAGCAGGGGTGGGCATGGATGGGGTGGGTGTGGCCAGCTCAACTTCGTTTGTGTCGGGCGGTACCTGTGGTGGCCTGCGTGGGGCTGGGGGGATCCATTGTCTCCAGAGGAGGAAGACGAGACTAGGGCAAGCACCATATACTTGTCCACCAGAGGAGCCTTGCTGTCGCTCTCAAGCCACATGGAGGACCCCCAGTGATGCAGGCTGCCTGGAGCCCTGGGCAGTGGAGGGCAAGTGCCCAGTCCAGCTTTCCCCAAGGGGGCGCTTGGCTGCTCTTACCTCCTCAACTGAACTTGTATCCTGACTTTGGACACAGGGCTTATGTTCTGCCATTGTGATGCACATATAATCACTTGCTTCCCCTCCACTCACAGGTGTAGAAGAAGGAGAAGGAGACACAATGACAAGAACAATCTGGCATGGATGCCGATAATGTTAATTTTATGAATCAAAATCCAGCGATTGTAACAAAAGGCTATGTCCAGTTGCATTTCATATATATGTTTTCTTGAAATCTTGGATTGGTTTAACCTTACTGGATAGCAGTTTTCAAATAGACATAGAGAGAAGAAATGCTTTCTCATGCTGGTAAAGGTTAAACTGCAAATATTACAGAACAATTGATTTTAAATAAGACAGACTTATAGGTCACATCCGCTAATGCCCCCTCAGAATTTTATTTAGTTCTGGGAAAAGCCAATGTAACAGTAACATTGTTCTTTGCTGACAATATTTACCAGCAAAAGCCTTCCTCATATCTAATTTAGCAATGAAACAAAGCTAATTGTAAAAGGTATTGTGGCTATTTTGCCTCACACTGATGGGAAAGGTATCATGGCAATTTTGCTCAATAGTTTGGACAGTAGAACATTTGATTAATTCTTGCAGTCCATCAGCCTTTTAGATTAGCAGCCATTGGCTATGCACGGGAAAGAATGGGGAATCTACTGCAGGATGGATAGATGAATAAGATATTTTTAATATTTTATAAATAATAAAATAATCCAAAATAATCTGTTCTGGGTTGATGGTACTGCAGGACAAAAATTGATAGAGAGTTATAAGATAACCTGTGATGCCCCACTGAGTACTAAATGGTTTTGAAGAAATTATGATTTATTCGATGTACTGAAGATTCATAGTTCACTATCCAGGGTGGAATTTCTGATTCCTTTTATTTTGATAGAACAAGTTTTTAAATGTTATTAATGTATTTATAAAATAATGGAGTTTTTTAAAGACCAGTTTCTAAGTCATGCCCTCACAAGGTTATTTCTAATATAAAAATATATATTATCAAATATAAAAATGGTATAAAACATTATTTCAATGCAATCTTATCACAATCTTTATCACTTTATATTCAGATCAAGGCGTTAATACAGATCATGCTGAGATGCAATAAATTCTCAGATGACTCTGAAATGCTCAGAGGAGAACTGGAGTCTTCCTCTTTAAAGCTCAGGCAATGAATACTGCACAACAAGATGAATATTAATAATAAAGCTTCTATGCACAAATTATGCGTGCAATTGTTTGCTTATCAGATGTAGAATTAAATGTCTTCCAGATAAATAATAATAATTTAAAATTTGAAGAAAAATAATAAATAACTTAAGATATACTATGCAATGTTTAAAAATGTGAACTTACCAAATTCTGTTGACAAAGCCAATAGAATTGCTGGAATTTTTGTGACATTAGCAACTGTGCACTTCCTACAGCACTTCGGATCTTACCTAGAACTGAAGATGAAGGATGAATATCAATTTAGATCTGAAACAATATATTTTTATAACCAAGGCTTAATCTAGAAAAAAATATTATTCTTGCTCTTTGGTTATGAATTCAATTAGGTGCACAGGCTTTTCAAACTGCATTCAAAAAAGAAAATCAGAGATCAGCTCAGCTTAAAAAATATTGCAAAAAGCCGCATGAGAATCTTGAGAAAAGAAATTATTTTCTCAGTTGCAAAGGAATCAAGGTGAAAGCATATGATCAAATCTTATCTATACTGTTTCATCCCCTCAGAAAATAATGTAAAAATCCTGGCTGTACTGACTAGAATCTTTATTCTCTGTGGGTCTACTTTTTATGGAACATCCAGGTGTTTCTGTCACTAATCTGTCAAGTTCAGTATTTCCTGGATATTCATGTTTTTTTCAGACAGTTTTGTGCTGACTTTTTTAAAAAAATACATGTGAAATATAGCTGCAATTCCAATCCCAGTGTAAAGAATAGGATGGGCAAAACTCTACCAAAGTTTACCTCCTAATTCTGATCCACTGGATCCTTAATAGGTTCCTAGATTTTTTAGCCCAATGGATTCTACAGCCCTTCCAGACTACAATGCATTTGATCTGGAAGTCAGATCAATGATGTTTGCCCAACCAGCTTCTTCTTTGCATGTTGCTCTCCAGCTAAAGAGAAATTTATTGCATAGTGGGAGGGTGTCTGATCAGTACTGTGACAGAAAAACCAAAGGAAGTTGCCAGATTAAGAAGCCCCAACAAATCTTGAGTTTGCTGTTGTGTGGTGGCAGCTGAGATTGCCATTGTGGTGCTTTCCTCAGGTTGGATTGACAAACAGGATCTGGGAGGTAAGAAAGTGTACTTTACTGGACCCTGAAGTCTAGGAGGAATAAATTTACCCACCACTGGCTTACGTATGAGCAGTGAGGTAATTTTGCTTATCTCGCACATTGCTGTTACTAGGCTGTTTTTTTTATTATTATTCCCTCTTGAGGCAGTCATACTGCCTTGATTGCTTACTTGCCTTTTATTGCTAATAGGGGTAGAATTACTGTCTCACCTACTCAGTGACAAGATGTAGGAATGAAAGGACCCGTCTACTTCCATTCAGTTTCAGTTTTGCATGTGGATACTGTTGAGTCCGTGGCAGGAAAACAGACACGAGAAGCAGCTGGAGTTCTCAGTTTCATTTATTCAGCGTTCAGCTTACAGGAAGATGGCTTCAGCCTCGCCCAAACACCTCGCAGCCTCTTATATAGGCAACTCCCGGGTAAATGGGTTACTTTTCCCGCGCCAGCACCCGCGCATGCGCACGGCGCTGGCGACAGCCTGTCTGGTCCCGGGCAGCTTTGCACCTGCCCGGGACTGCCTGCAAACGCCTGAGCCGTTTGCAAGGCTCGGGACATAACACCCCTTTCCCCCGGGCTAAAACTACTACCAACATACAACATTTATTTTATATGACATTTTGCTCCCCAGTGCTCCCACTGATTACTGGCTTTTGCCTTGCCAGCAATGTTATGTAATCTTCTAGGTACTTAGGAGATTTCTTTGCTCTCTGTGACCTTCTTAGCTCTGGGTTACTGGCATAAGTCCCCTGACTGGAGGGAGGCGTGAGCCTGTTCTCTCTATTGTGCCCTGGTGTCTTCCAAGGACTGTGCCCCGATGCCTGGCCTGCTTGCTTGCCCACCGGGCTCGTCAGGCCAGGGCTTCTGTTACTTTGTGACCTGGTTGACCTACCTAGCTGTAGACCCTCAGGCCCCTTGAAGTGATAGCCGCTGCTGGGCGTCTCTGTAGAACCTCCTAGGTCAGTCCAAGACCTGTCAGGAGGCTGTCCATTCCCTGAACCCCATTCTGTGCTCGGGCTCGTGTGGGTTTCTGTACTTTCCCAAAACTCAGGTGTTCCCTGATTTGTGCTAGGGTTGTTGTAGTCGGGACTTGGTTCCTCGACTAGCTCTGTGTATGTTTGACCCCCTGTAGGATTTGGGGTAAGGTCAGGCCAACCTTGGGAATTGTGTGCCAGCTCTCTTGCGGGGAATGATTTGTTGGGATGCCCCCGGGTATCCTCCGTTGCTGGAGTGCTGTGTGATGTGTGTGGAAAGTGAGTATGCCCCCGGGGTGACTCCCTGGCTGGAGTAGGCGTGAGTGCCTGTTGTGTGGGTAAGCTCCATGACTTTCTTTTCGGAGCAATTGCAGAACCTTGGGACGAGCCGTTTGTGGCTCCCTCAGTGGAGATGGGCAGTAGCTCTTGCCCTTCCCTTTGCTCCAAAGGGTCCCCCTCCCCCCCTGGAAAAGACCCAGGAGTCTCAGCAGAAAAGTCTCGCCTAGAGCGAAGTTGGTCGATGTGCCGACGCAGGACACGACCGTTGTCCAGGGCAACCTCGTAGGAGAGAGGACCTGTGATCCTGGACACAGAAGCGGGGACCCATGTATGACCAGGCCCGTAATTGCGAGCCCAAACCGGGGCACCCACAAGTAGTTGTCTAGGTGCCCTAGGATGTGAGGTAGATGAAGGCAGTCTGTCCGGATGCAACCGGTCAAGTCTAGTAGTAAGTTGGCGCCCCCAACGAAGTTCAGCTGGACTTCTCCCTGTAGAAGTGGACGGTGTGGTGCGATAAGAAAGGAGAAAGTCAGCCAACCTGTGATGCCAGTCCCCGTAGGTGAGTCTCTTCAAGGCGTCCTTTGCGATGCGCACCATGCGTTCAGCCATACCGTTGGTGGACGGGTGAAAAGGCGCAGACGTGGCATGACGAATCAGGTTTGCCTGTAAGAAAGCTTGGAATTCGGAGGAGGTGAATTGAGGGCCGTTGTCGGACACAATGACATCTGGCAGCCCGTGTGCAGCAAAAATCCCCCTCAGTACCTGAATAGTCTTTGCAGTGGTGGTGGATGAGACAGGCACAACCTCAAGCCATTTTGAATGGCTGTCAACAAGGACCAAGAAGAACTGGCCCTGAAAGGGCCCAGCGTAGTCAATGTGCACCCTAGACCATGGGGACTGTGTTTCCTCCCATCTATGCACAGGAGCTTGGGGCATCTCTGGGCGAGATCGTTGGCACAGGTGGCATGCGTGTACCTTAGCCTCAATATCTTTATCTAAACCAGGCCACCACAAGTGGCTGCGTGCAAGAGCCTTCATACGAACAATGCCAGGATGACCCTCGTGGAGGGATTCTAAGACCCTAGTCCTCATTGAGGTGGGAATGACAACTCTGTTTCCCCAAAGCAGACAACCCTGAGAAAGGGACAGTTCGTTTCTTTTGGACCAGAAACTCTGAAACTCAGGACTAGGGCAGTGCTCAGGCCACCCGGACAGGACCCAGGAGCGGACACGTGAAAGTGTGTGATCTGTACCTGTTTCAGCGGTAACATCCCTGGCACTAAGAGGGAGCTCGGGCAAGGCTTGGATTGATAGAATGTTGACAGCTGGCGGGGGTCAGCTTCTACTACTGGCAGAGGCAAATCTACTGAGGCCATCAGCATGGCCCATTTCTTTCCCAGGCTTGTGGAGTAATGAAAAATCATATGCAGACAAGAAAATAGACCACCTAAGCATTCTAGGGGAAATGATGTGGGGAGTCTGCTTACGTGTGGTAAACAGTCCCAGCAGAGGCTTATGGTCAGTGAAGACCGTGAAATGCCTGCCATATAGAAAATCGTGGAATTTTTTAATTCCAGCAACAACAGCCAGAGCCTCCCTGTCTATCTGAGCGTAGTTGCGCTCGGCAGAAGACAGTGTTCTGGAGTAGTATGCAATAGGAACCTGAGTTCCATCAGACCTGAGGTGACTCAGGACAGCTCCAACCCCGTAGGGGGACGCATCACAAGCGATGCACACAGGGAGAGACTCGTTGAAATGTGCAAGAACACTGTTAGAAGTGAGCAAGGCCTTGACTTCTTTAAAGCAAGCCTCATGCGCTTGTGACCACAGCCACACAGCCTGTTTGTCTAGTAGCCTGTGAAGAGGCTCAGCTACACTAGCTTTATGTGGAAGAAAAGAATTGTAGAAATTCAGGAGGCCTAGAAAGGCCTGAAGTTCGGCCTTAGACTTTGGCCTGGGTGCATCTAAAATAGCAGTTAGTTTGGATTCAGCAGGATGAATCCCAGCAGCATCAATTTTGAATCCCAGAAATTCAGTAGAAGGCACCCCAATCTGGCATTTGTCTTTTCTGAGCTTGAGGCCTGATTTCCTGAATCTTAACAGGACAGCCCTAAGCCTTTCAGCTAGAATGTGTGTGGAGTCTCCTGCAATCAAGACATCGTCAAAGTAGGGGCAGACCCCTGGTATACCTCGTAGTGTGTTTTCCATAACGCTTTGGAAAATCCCAGGAGCGACATTCACTCCAAACTGTAGCCTTTTTACTTTAAAGGCTCCCCTGTGGTCACAATGGTCTGAGCTATGGCAGCATCATCATCAACAGGCAGCTGTTGATATGCTTGAGCTAGGTCAAGCTTTGCAAAAACACGCCCCCCCTTGAGAGAGGCCAGGATGTGACTGACCACAGGAACAGGATAGGCATGTTGCTGCAATGCCTTATTGAGTGTGCATTTGTAATCAGCACAAATGCGAATGTCCCCATTTGCCTTTAGAGGCGTGACAATGGGGGTCTCCCACGGGCTGGAATCAACAGGTTCTAGGATTCCCTGTTGGATTAGTTTGTCTAGTTCAGTGTCAATCTTACTTTTTAAAGCAAAAGGGACCCTTCTTGCTTTAATCCTAATGGGAGTGACAGTGGGGTCTAGCTTTAAGGACACAGGTGGTCCTTTGAATGTGCCCAGCTGGGGGCTGAAAACATCTGCAAATTCTTTGCAGACTTCCTGTAGGTCGAGTGTTTGTAAGCTATTGAGTCCTGTGACGTGTATCCCCAGGGCCTCAAACCAATCGAGTCCTATGAGACTCGTTCGTTCACCCCCTACTACTAATAAGTCTAGTGGACCTTCAAAACTCTTGTATTGCACGTTAAGGGTGGCCTCCCCCTTAACACACACTCTTG